TTCCCAGCGCCGTGGTCGAGATTGGTAGCATACTGAAATATCAAGAATATAATTGACGAACGTATTTTTTTGTAACATCATCGGGTGTAACGGTGTTGGCTGGGTTTCGTGGATGCGACTTAGTCTGTTTTAAGTTACAGCATTTTTAAATTCCATTATGCTTTATATAAAGGCAGTTTTGTGAGTTTTCACCTTTTATTGATTGCTATGCAACATAACCATCTCGAACGACCCGGTTCTGAGGACTTTACGACAGTTTTCAACTTTTTCACCGGATGTGATGAATTTTTGAAGAGACGGCACATATAGCTGTACAAAACCAGCTATTTTTATGCCAGATGACTGAATCATTTCTGTCGTAAATGACCAAAATTGCGAATAATGGCGCTCGGCGGATCGAAATCTTGGGAGGAGGAATCAAAAGGTGGTTCAAGAGCTATACTTCATGGCCAGAGGACAAAAACTGCTATCTACAGGGCCTACTACCGCCACCACTTCGCGGCTTTCTAGAGTCGCAGAATGTAGACCACACGCGGCCCTCTGGCTACACTGCCGCTCGACAGACGCCGCCCTTGCCGGGCTCTTCTTACCGCCTTAGTCAGGCGTTAACACCACAGGCTTCCATCGTCATAAAGCCCAGCAAAGGGGAAAACATCAAATCCAATACCAATTCCTTTCTGGGTTTCGCACAGATCTTCACGCCTTGCTCGCAGCCAGAACCGTATGCATGCACCATGCACCAGGAAACGGTTCAAGTGTGAGCGTCCAGGATCAAGCAGAGGTCAATTAGAATCGCGATGGTGGCCGCACTGACGCAATAAAAAGCCAGACAATTGCTTCAATGGTCCCTGGATTCTTCGCCCTGTAGTATCCAGCACAGTGCGCGTGCAGTCTGTTGAGAAATTCCCATTTACGTAACAAGGTTAGTCTATCCAGAGGACACGACAACTGCCGCGGGATTTCGGTTCGGAGTAACGGGTCGCGTGCCCTTAGCTTTACGAACGCCGCAATCCTTGTTCTGAAAACCTCAATGAAACCGCCCGGAATGAGGGAGACATCCGGTGGGCTCCTCCCCGTCACGCCAGGCTGCGCATTCTCAAGGCATGTTCACTGCATCAGGGAGGTCTGGAATGCTTCTATCCGACCACGGTCGGCGCGGTGAAATTTTTGACCGACTTTGACGAGGACTGCGGTTGTTTGCAGGCTCGTTGCGAACTGCGGACTGTAGCTAACTCGTGCGCTGCAGCTTCGTTCTCGCTATTCTCGAAGAGCAGACAGCCATCAGCACAACCTTCGACGTCAACCATAGCGAAGGCGGACGACTGCTAGAAGTCTCCCGCGATCCTGGCTCGCAACTCGCGGACGGTTCAGTCTGCGGCAGGGCCTCTCTGGCGGGAGTTCGGCCGCTGCTTCGATGGTCGGGTCGCGCCGGCACGGGTCAAGGTCAGTCCGGTTCCGGCCGGCGCGCGCACCCCGCCGTCCCGGATCTGGCCACCCCAGCGTGCCGGCCGGCCGGCGCACGGGCCCAGCCAGTTACTGTTACGCCACTGCTGGCTGGCCGGCCGGGCCGGGCGGCGACGCCGGGCGACGCAGCCGCCTGCTTTCTCTTTCGGTTCCTTTCACTGTGGCGGCAGGGCAATGCCGGGTCCGCGCGGCCAGTCGGTGACCCACACGCTTTCACCGACGCCAACCGCCAGACCGCTGCACGTGGCGCGGCGTCTTCGGAGCAAGGATGGCATGGGGACACCGGAAGCGACGGCAACCCACCGGCTGCCTGATGAGTGCGCCTGCCCTCCCCCTCCCCCCCCCCCCGCCGACCCGCAGAGATTCGCTCGGCAGGGGGGCCGGACGTGTGGGTGCTTTCTATGCATGCCAGAATTATGGCGGCAGACCCGGGATTAGCGACCCGAGACCTCGCGCATTCAGTCCATGGACCGAAGCCGCAAATCCTCTTAACCTGTCAGCAGTACAAGACATCATTACGGCAAACTTTTCAGTTTAGAACTGTCTAGACGGGGACCTCTGGTTCCCCATGCTGCTGCTGCACCCGTGCTGCACCGGTGCCACGTACTACAAACACCCGTGTGGAGGCTGAGACTGCCGCTTTAATGGCACAACAGCTTACACCTGCTTTTTGCAGACAGGGCTTTGCCAGAGCGCCTTCCAAACGCGGATGCCTTCCAGCGATAAGAGTCCAGTTTTTCAAATCCGAACATTGCTTGCTTCGAAGCGAGAGGAAAGTGTCTTTGAAGGTCAACATGTTATACGACCTGAACGTATGAAGCACGAGCTGCCAGGAAGCAGCCCACGAGCCTCTGGATGCTAAACGGGGCCGAAAATGCCGCCTGTCCGAGGGAAAGACAACCATTATTTTCACGCCGTCCATCCGGTGCACGAGTTGTGAAGATTACAGCGGAGCGGAAGACAGGTATGAATGTTGGTGCTGGTATAAACCATGTTGGTGCTGGTATAGGTATGAATGTATAATAGGAAATAAAATGCTGGTGCTGGTATAGGTATAAACCGCTTGGTGCTTAACCTGCAGTTAAGCACCAAACGGTCGATTAGGTACTGACCTTGATTCTTGCTAAAGTTTAATACACTTGGGGATGCACCGCGGGGGGGGGCAGGTATACGTCCCTGCAACAGTTATGTTGAATATCCGCAGACCGGTTTGTGCTATCTTCCGGATCAGTTTAGCTCCTTATCCTACATCAATTTCCAAATCACCGCGACTTTTGCGTTAAGGTCGTGCTTGGTCGATGACCTGAACTGGCTTTAGGTAGGTCATGTCGGATGGAAACCTGGCTGGACATGACACTCGATAATAACGCATTCTGATGTGTCCGCACATTTATTTGGCCAACTTTTCTGCACAGCGATGCCACTACATGATCTCCAAACCCAATGTCATTTCAGGGCACTGACGTAAACTAATTTTTACTTCCACTCTTTGCTAATATTCCCACTAATTCCATAAATGTGATTATTGTATTCATTAAGAGTTAGGAATTTGCTTCCATACCTTCATATTTCCCCGAAACCCAGGGAAGGAGGCCAGGGCCACTGTTCGAAGTTGACCTTTTCCTGAATATTTGTATAGTTCGCACTAACCCGGCACAATTTGTTCTTCTTTAATCGTGTTTAAACTCGGCAGTGCCACTTCGTCATCTGCATGCGATATTTTCCCCCAATAGCCACCACACGTCACTGACATATACTGACGTTCAAATGCCACTGGCTCGACATTTGGTTGACCTAGGTTAACGCCAGCAGTACGTAGATACAGGCTGAGCACCCACTCAACAAACCATGCCGCTCCTACCGGATTACGAGAGCGCCACCAATTTGTGGGCCGACTGTATGCGAATTAGACAAAACTGTGCTCCGGTCGGTCGTCGATATCAGCCGATGACCGACGCGAGGCTAGAACAGGTTGTGGTACATGACGCGGACCCTCCAGTAAAGGGCCTCCTCGCACCAGGCCTGCTCACCACGCGGCATGTCACGTGACCGCGCTAATTCCGGCAGGCTCGCGTGCAGGCCAGCCGCAGCTTCGAGTCTGGGGCGTATCTCCGCCTGACCCAGTTGGTCAGCAAGCCGGATCAGCTTCCGTTGGCATGTCAAGGCCACGGCGAGCCCCTCCCGGAGCGTCTCTGCCAGCGCCGGCCGTCCACTGTCGCGTCGGAGGGGGGGGGGGGGAGGGGGGCGACTCACCAAAGGACGACCGCCCGAGGTTTGTTTGGACTGGTGTTCTACGACAGCCAAAGGTCAGGCTATCTGGTTTGGTCGAATGGTTTTCAGCTAGGCCGTGTTTACAAGCGCCGGTCCCACGCGTCTAGTGGAAAGAAGCAAATCAGAAGAGCAAGTCTGAAATCGATGCACGCTAAAAGTAACGGCACCGAAGTCACTTCAAAATGACGGTGCGGGATGTATGTTGCAACTAAACGCTCCTCAAAGCTTTAGGCTGTAATGCATTCGGATACCTTCTTTGAGCAGCAAGACAACAGTTAAATACGGTCATGCCTTTTGGAGACTTTGGCGGGGCACGCTGTCCTCACTCACCAGAAACCAAGTCCAGGCCATATGAGAATAGACACATCGTATTAAATCCGGTCTTTCAAGGACAGCTCGTAGTGAAACGGCTGCTATGGGGAGGTTGTGGGAAAATACCTCAAGGGTGCCAAATAGAGTCTTCATCTACCATTGATGCAACGGACTCGCTGTGCCTTTGACCATTGGCGGCATTGCACTACATCCTCACCGCATGAACTGAAAGCCAGGTCGCTTCGCCAGGCGAAATTCCGTCGCGGCCGCTGAGGGTCATTGTCCGCTGACGGACACCGCTGAAACAGCCTCTAAACGCCACGACTGCGCTCTCAGTAAGCGTTCTTCAGCCGTCGCGTTCGACGGTTGGCAGCCTTGGTGTGAACGTTACCACACTTCCAGCTGTGATGGATCCAGTATGGTGCGACCACCCGGCGCTGGGACGGGGCTATCTCTGAACGTGCGTCTTGCTGAGGTCTGACCGCTGCTTTAGGTCATCACGGTGTACATCACACCATATTTACCCGGAATGGTGAAAAGAGATGAAGGAAGGACCCAAATATAAACAAAAACGGACCTTTTCACGTCAACAGACCGCGCTTTTCTGTCAGCAGTTCCGAGCACCTTACACCGCATGGAGCGATTTTCTGTCAGCAGCTGGACCGTGGGTGTGGCAAAACGGGAACGCGATTTCCTACGTATTGGCAAACTATGCCGCTTCAACAAAAGACGCAAGGAACAGGCCGCCTGTCACCGAACCGGTTGCGAAAACGGCGCATCTCCAGAGGCCGGTGAGCGGGATCTAGAAGCGGATGCGCTCGGCGGCACCAACCATGGGCGCCGCCACCGCGTGTCGAAACGCCCGAGCTGTTGCAACACCGCACGCTTCTACAGGGACGCGGCCGGTCCCTAGCCTGGACGCGGCACCACAACAGTGGCGGTCGCACACCCACCTGCGTGACGTCACTGGTGCCGGGAGCGCGGGCAGGCACTGTTCACGCCGGGACTGTGCGCTGACGACTAAGGCGGCCAGGCCGGCCACCGCCAGACCGTGTCTGGGCGACGGCTGCCGTGACGTCACCGCCTCGTGACGTCACTGCCCTGGAAATCCACGGCGTCACGGGCAGGGCCGGATCCGATGGCCACCACTCAGGCAGGCGTCCAGACTTTTCGTAACGAGAGCGGGAATGGGAATCCTGGAGGTGGTTCCATGGGTTTCGGGGGTGCCATTCAAAATTTTCGATTTCGTTCATCAAGCGGAGGGCATGGGGTCGCCTCGTACACCAGGTGGAAGCTTGGTTCGTCAAAATCTGGTGCTATTTCCCGACATTGTTTGCTGGGAGAAATTTTGTTTGTTTACACCATTGTTTGCTGGGCACGCCCTCGACCTTTTGGGCGAGGCAAAGAAAGCTTGTTTGGACAATGAAGGAATGGGGTCACATCTTTTAATTTAACCTCAACCCATTTCTTGAAAGCGCCGATCTGGCACTCCGATCCCTCCGCACGCGGACTTCAACACACGGCGGAAGACTAGTCCGATCCATATTTTCAGCACGGTTTTAGGATCATCGCTGCGAAAGCGCGTAATTCGGATAGATTAGACGATGCGGGCTTGCTCCAGGTAAAGTATTTGTGCTTGGCACGAACCATTCACCTCCATTAATCGATATGTGGGTAGAGGCGGGACGACGAGCGAGGGGGGGGGGGGGGGGTACGGACGTGAGAGTATGTTTTTGCACCTTCAAGTTTTAAGAGGCCCCTTTTTCGTACACTGAAGGTTCTGTAGCTGCACATATCTTACCGACATTCGGATCAAGGAGGCCCCACAACTAGGCCAAAGTAATGAATCGGCTCGTTAAGACGCTATTCTGCATCAAGGGACCCGTTTTTGTCAGAAGGTTCTGTTCTGTGCTAAGGAGGTACCTTTTGCTGGCTCGGGAGGCCCGGTAGTTAACTAGGAGTCCCCTGTTTTTGATTAGTAGGGACCCCTTTACGTCAGGAGCCCAATCTCTAGACCAGGAGGCCCTCTCTCATGCGTCAGAAGGCCGTTATTCCCTATCAAGATGCTCTGTTTTGAGATAGCGAGGTCATCTACCGGATTTGGAGGCCCTTTCTGTCAATTGGAGTGATCCTGTTCTGGATTAGGACCCTCCTCTATGCATCAGAAAGCCCTTTTATGGAATATGAGGCTATGCCTCAAGGATAGAGGTCTTTTGCTGGCTAGAAATCCCGTACATTAATTAGAATGCTAAGGCGCAGGATTTTTTGTTGTCAAAGTTTATCCGCGTGGATAATGATACCTATAATGTAAATTCTGTAAGGGATAAAATGCTCCACCCCCTTGAAAGGCATTACCCTGAAGTCGCTCCGAGAGGAGATCCCATTTTATCTGAGAAGCCCTCTGGAAAAGTCCACTCCCCGACTGAAAGTCCGTGGCGCTGTCTCGGTATGTAGGTAGATGTTTTCTCGCATGAAATCTCCTAAATCCATTCCCATGTTCTTAGATGCAACCCGCCCACAAAACATCCCGAATCTTACCAAATACAACCCAAGGCAGGAAAACCAAAATCGTAATAATCCATAGCATCTAATCCCAAAACCCTAAACCTAGGTTAAACCTGGATTAGCAAATGAAGCGCCTAAGAACGTTGCATCCTCCTTAAATTGAACGCATTAAGCAATTCTCGGCCTGTTATCATTCATCCAAACTGGCCAATTTTGAACATTTCTGGATGATTCATTTCATTCGGTTCTGTTTTGTCGACGACTGGGACCGTCATCAATGCATTCGTGCGTCTGCACAGGGACGTATAGCTTGAAGCCGTTTTGTTTATTTAACGCTGAAACGTTGCAGCCGCTAGCTACAACGCTGCAGCTTTTTCGTAAAGTGTCGTGTCAGCTTTTTGCGTAGTTCGAAACAACGATCATCTTATATTCAAGGCACTTCGCCTTGCCGACACGCACGATTGCTGTTGTGGCGTCGTGCATGTACTCCCCGCCTGAACATAGAAGTGTTTATCCATGTACAACATACACATAATCCCTTACCTCACACACCAGAACGTTAAACTTGAAGGTCTTTGGTCCTTCGTATGCACGCTACCTCGTTAAAAGGAGTACATCATCTTTTTGCACTTGCCTCTCATCAGATCTCTCTTATCAGATCAGATCAGACACGTGCGATTTAATCGGTAACACCAGTTCTCTCAGAAATCTCCCCGAGTAACTTAAAATTTAGATTTGAGGTGGCAGTTCCGGAGGGAGAAATATGGCTTGACTCCTTGCTTACCACTATAAAAGTAAAACTTTGCATTTGCTTTGCTTTTCCAGCTGGTGTTCTGGTATGTTTGCAGTACACTTTCTCGTCAAAATGGTCGTATAATAAATCATAACAAAGATTGAGACACTAATAGGGGAAAACGACGTACAAAAATAAGGCTATTAGCTATCCACGCGAATTCAACACAATATTATACTATGGCTTTTGATTCCTTTCCTATGGCTTCTAGTAGCAACTCTTTTCAAAATGCACTTTGGATTCAGGAAGCAGGGTATAACATGGTTCATAGTAACGCACTGGTTCAAACGTCAACCAATTGCATTCACGGTAAATGGCCTTTACCACCCACTCTGCCAAGCATAAACGTTCATTTGTGCTGAAGTCATTCATACCGGTGGAGATGCCATTTTAATCCCATTGTAGCCTCCATTGTGAGGGTTAAAAAAGTTAGACAGTGGTACCCCTGGTCCGCAACAGCTGACGACAGCCCTAAGCAGATTCTGCCGTCGCCATGACGGCGGCAGTCGTGACAGCTGGCGACATAATCTGCTTAGGGCCGTTGTCAGCTACGGGCCCGCCGGCTTAAAATAAGCACCTCTCCTCTGACTGATGACATATGAACGACGTCTGTACAAATTAACGCTTGTGATTGGCAAAGCTGGCGGCGAAGGCCATTCACCGAGGAGTGCATTGGTTAAAGTTCAAAAGCGTAAAGTTCAAAGTTAAAGTTCAAAAGCGTTAAGTTCAAAGTTAAAGTTCAAAAGCGTAAAGCTCAAAGTTAAAGTTCAAAAGTTCAAAAGCGATAAAAGTCAAAGAAATAAAAGCCAAAGGCAAAAAGCGAAAGGGGCAAAAAGTGAAATGGATGCAACTTAAAAACAATAAAAGTCAAACGCAAAAATTCAAGCAACACAAAGTAAAAAGGGGAAACGTACAATGGATAACGGAAGAACAAGCTATAAAAATCCCTTCCCTGGATATTACCAGAGCTTCCAACTACACCGAAGTCCTCTGGTCAGGCATTCGTGAAGAAGGCTTATCTGGGGCGGGGGGGGGGGGGGAGGGAGGGAGGAAATGAAGAGCCCGCGCCGCTCAGCCAGTTGGAATAAGCTATTTATCGGGTCTGTAACTCGGCAAAAGGAGCATAGGCCGGGTCCCAGCTTTGGATCGAAAAAGGACCCTCTAGCGTAATGGAAGTGCAGGGGTGTAGTTTCTCAAAATGATATGGGGCTGAACAGTAAACAATGACCCAACCTGCCCCAAAATGTGCCAACCAATAGGTTTCTCCCCAGATTTAGTCTTCCTTTCTTCCCAGAGTTTGTGAGACTGAAGCCCAAAGGGGACGGGGCTGAAGCCCCCTCCCCCAACTGAATAGGAAACCACACCTCTGGGTAAGTGTCATAACTCACAGATTTTTTCGCGCGGTGATGTCTTGTGGTAACTGAACAGAAAACTACAACCCGGAGGAAGTGCCCTACATAACGATGATTTTTCACGATGTGATGTCTTTTAGCTTATGTGCTTTGGATTCCTTCAACAATAGCAAACCATGGCCACAAAAGAGCATTCCTCCGAGGAGTACTGCGGCGGATTTTGAGCTATGGAGGACCTTTTCAGGTCGTTGTGGACGCTCTAGACAAATTGGGGTCTCCTCAAAGAGAATCCTCCCGTACGAGGCTGTCTAATGGGTCTCTTGAGCTTTGGTGGGAAGAGGGCAAGGGAACCCGCACAACATTTTTACCGTCCTTCTCTATTACAACCCTTCAGAAAAATACCACACCTTTGTAATTTGGAAAAGTGTGTTTCACATTTCTCGGTCATCTCGGGTTCTAGGAAGGCATAGGTAATTCATAAAACTCGATAGGAAGCTGTGTCTTCCTGGGCAAGTGTCTTACATCACGACGATTTTTTCGCGATGACGTCTTTCATCTGATCGGCTTCCAGTCCCTTCAAACATAGCAACCCATGGCCATAAAAGAACATCCCGCCGACGAGCGGTGCCACAGGTTTTGAGCTACGGAAGAACGTCGTAGGTGGTTTAGGACACTCTAGACAGAATGGAGTCATCTCGGAGAATCTTCCTAAGCGAGGCTTTCTAATTGGTCTCTTGAACTTTGACGGGAAGTAGACAAGGAAGACTGCACAATAATTTTATCTCTCTAATCTATTCCAGCTCATCAGAGTAGTACCATGTCTTTCTAAGTTGGAAGAAGTGTGTGCCACGTTTCTCGGTTATCTTGGGTTTTAGAAAGGCATAGGTAACCCCACTTGTTGGGCTTCTGAGACCAATAAAAAAAACAATGCTAGACATAAGGCACCTGCTAAAATTTGTAACAGGTTGAAGTAATAAAAAGCAACAGGTACTGTTAACAATTTTCCGCTGGTTTCTATCAAGCTTTTCGATAAAGTGATGAAGTTTAAGAAATAGTATGGCCACATGGGATGGGATTAGCTGCTTGGTTTTCCATGAGCTCTGTAAGTAGTACTAATGTAGTAGCCTCAGTCAAATTTGCGACTCGTTGCAGGAAGCACTAGAAAAACGAATTTGGATTTCCTGGCTCAGTTATGGATGGGCAGTGGGGTTGGGGGTGGGGGGTAGGTAATTGCCCTTTTGCTCCCGCCCTGCTGTGCCGTCACTGACTGCACCTATAACAAAGGGTCTCTTCAGGCGTGCAAGGGACCATGCTGGCATGTAAAGCAGGCCCAGCCTGAACGTGAATGAGACGCACAGACCTCGTGGCTGTGTCGAGTCCTTGGAGTTCCCTGGATTTGAGGTGGGAATAATTCGCGCAATGGATGGGAGTTTGTTCTAGCTTACTTGCTTCAGGGCTCTCAGACGCCTTTTTCATTTTGACTGGAATACTTACACTTTTCTTTTTTTCTTTTGACATACAGGTAGGGAATGCTACGAGGGGAATGGGGGACGAGCGAGAAACCTGTTATTGCCGTAGTTTTTATTTCTGTTAGCTTCTGCCGCTGGGATATTTTACATTTTATTGTTATTTTTTGTTCTGCTACATTTGACTTTCACTGTTGAATCTTAAGCATTGCACTTTTGTCATCTGGCTTGCTAGCCCTTAAACTTTTTGCTGTTTGACTTTTTGAGTTTGACTTTATCTTTTTGGCTTTTTACCGTCTGTTTTGTTCTTTTGAATTCTGACTATTTGCATTTTTGCCATTTGACATTTATCCTACATGGCTTTTCCCCAATTTAGCTTCGTCATTTGACTTTTTGTTCCCTGACTTCCTGGCTTTTGACTTTTTGTCCGGTTACCCCATATCAGGCAATTTTTCATAGAAGATGGTCATCAGGTCAGCGGCAGTTCCTGTTTTTCTAAATCATCTTTCCCTCCTGTCTTTCTTTGCGTGGTCTTACCCTCATAATCAAAAGCAAGAACGTCCTCAACTTACCGAAACAAGCCGAATGATTCCCGGGACAGAATATCAAACAGAATGTTGTACACTTGTATAGGGCTTTGAACTGAATAGCCATCTGGAAGATCATTTGGTGCAGTTCACAGCCCTGCTCTTCTTAAAACCTAAGCCCCCTAGTTTATGAGCTACACGCCCGCAAAGATGTGCGGACTATCTCGCGGAGACTATTTTAAGGTCACCCGGGGAGCCATGACGTCATAGTAACATCATTCAAATCCCGCTATTGTATTAGCCACTCGGCGATCGAGGCCAAGACAACATAATTTTTTAATCGTTTACACCTGGCGTTTGTGAGCACGATTTCCAGACACAAGGGCCGTCAACTGGATCGCAATCAATGTTGTGCAAGATACGATGGCGTAATCAAGCAATGACGTATTGAGGAGCATATTGACTTACGAGAAAAATCGTGCTGTCTTGAGCACTATTTTTACCCTAAAGCATATTAATAGTTACAAGTGAGCTTTTCAAATCTGATGTTTGCTGCAATATCTTCAAATGTGGAGCATCCTCTTAAGATTATTATAAATGACATGACAATCAGATGACTTCGCGGACCTTCTGGCATCTTGCTCCTTTAAGCTAATTAATTCCTAATTGCCATTTTTCAAACGTGTTTGGCTGAATCAAAATGGAGGTATGAATCATGAATCATGAATTCTGAATCCTGAATCCTTATCCTGATTCCTGAATCCTTATACTGAATCCCGTACTGTGACTTTAAATTATTAATGGTTATGACAATTAATTATTTCACTGAATTACTGATTCTGAATTCTGAATCACTACCTGAATCAAGAGCGAGTGGAGTGCCAGTAGACGCCTTTGTTGACACGGCGGTAGGGTTCTCCCCTGACCGAAACGCGTGTTAAGAAGTAGCTTTTTCGGAAACCTTTAAAGCTACTACTTGCTCCATCAGTGGAGAACAAGATCCAGCAAAGAGTTTGAATGTGACATCTGGAGAGCGGCAATGGAAAATAGTATTTTAAAAAAACGTGGACTGCTTGCAGCTATCAACCTCCTGCCGATGATTGCATGGGGGGAGGGGCGAAGCAACTCAACATTTTGTCCATGCGGCGCAGTGCGTAAACCCTGATAAATTGTCGATAAGTGTCAAATTCTAATTTGTGGTTGCATATGATGTCAGGGCCAAGGAACCCAACAGACAGTTCGAGGCATTCATGATTTCCGACATGAACATTGATGATTACGACAGCAGGGTTACTTGGAGGCGAAGGAAATGCCATACGACAGGGGCACTCCCTCCACCACTCCATACCACCCGGCATCACTTGAATCAATCAGTGTAATGCATACTGTGTACGACATTGAGCAACTGGATGCTCCCACTATTCAGACGGATATAAAGGCCCTCAAGCATAAAATAATGCATCATCAAATATCGCATTTAACGTGACTGCCGTTAGTGAATGGTCATTTGCGCTAACACAAATGTCGTTCATCAATAACAAATCCATGATATTCGATATAAAGCAATATCATAACAATTAAAACCTGCACTGGTCACAACAGTAGTGCAACCTCTTGCCAAATGCCATAGGAACACTCAACTGGAGACTAGGTTACTGGTGATAAGATTGTGGGCACATGCATTTTAATAGTCCAGTGACACAATGCCATTTATGGATATCTGCCATGGGGATTATTAACCCGTTCTAGTGGACAAGCCTGCTTGGTTGTAATTAGCGACCAATATGATCGCTTGCTGTCCAAAACCGCATCGGACAGCAAAACAATTTACAAAACATTTTAAAAGCATCGGTTGCTTTTTAAGTCAAGCCCAGACCAATACAAAATCTATTGCACAAAGCAGTGAATAGAAATATTCTGACGTGGGCGTGGGACCGCAGAGAGCTGGTTATACCGCCGTTTCACATAGGTGATCAGTCATCAGCGTGCCACCTTGGTTGATTGCTTTGCGCACGATAATTCATGTCCAGGAGGCCAGCGTTGTAAAAAATTACCGCCAATGAATGGAATTTACTTCAGATTTTCCTCCTGCGACGGTTATAAAGTTCGGAGAAAAACAAATCTTCTTCACCAAAATCCTCCGCCGTCGGGAGCGATTTTCCTCCATCGAGTTTTATCAACAAAATGTACAGCGAGAAGCACAATGGTAAACGCGCAATTATAGTAAAACATGAAACGATAAAAAAATTGCACCTCATCCATGCGTTTTTTTTTTAAACAGGACCGACGTACTTTTTACGATTAAAATGCGTCCTAAGTAAATAAAGTTCGGAGTGAAAAAATATGGCACCTTGTCCAGAATTCAGCAACATGCTTACAGGTGAGCCTCGATTCATGAACATCTGCGCCATTGTTGGATATATCACGGCTTCACCCACATGCCAACATCTTGCTGCTTGAAGTACGCTAAGACACAGGGAAGGGGGGCGGCGTAGCAGTGCAACTTCTGTCTAGATGCCGGATGGATGACGGGGGGGGGGAGTTGATGTCAAAAGTTATCTTCTTGACGATGATGGAGTGTTGACCAGCAGTAACGAAGGGAAGGCAAACGTCCTCTGTAAATTCTTCGCCAGCGTTTTCACGGACGAAGGGACTAGTGTCATGCCTGTGTTACCGTGCAACTTTACTGGACCGTTACTGGATGACGTGGGCATCTCTACCCAGGCAGTGGCAAATAAATTGAGCTTTCTGAAGATCTCGAGCGCCCCCGGGCCAGACGATCTCCATCCAAGGCTTCTTCGCGAGTCCGCGGATGTCCTGGCAGTACCCCTCAGCATGTTTTTCCAAAAATCTTTGGCATCCGAAAGGCTCCCCCTGGAGTGGAAGCTTGGCGAGGTAGTCCCGATCTTCGAGAAGGGTAACGGACAATCTCCAGCGAGCTACCACCCAATGAGCCTTACTGCCATTTCCTCCAAGATACTCGAAACTTTCGTCCGTGATGTCCTACTTAATCACTTCTTGGAGCCTGGACTTCTTCACGCAGCCCAGCATGGGTTTCTCCCTAAGCGGTCCTGTACCACCCAGCTGTTAGAGGTCCTGGAGGATTGGAGCGCCGCGGTAGAGAATGGAGAGCCGGTGGACATGGCGTATCTGGACTTCAGCAAAGCCTTTGATTCTGTTCCCCATAACCGTCTGCTCTCCAAGCTTCATGCTTACGGTGTGGGAGGTAATTTGCTACGCTGAATCAGGGCTTTCCTTACTCACCGGATGCAGAGAGTGCGGGTCCAGGGCTCGAAGTCGGAATGGACCAACGACGTCAGCGGCATCCCGCAAGGGTCAGTACTTGGACCAACGCTGCTCATTATTTTCGTGAACGAGCTGCCAGAACAAGTGCGAAGCGTGGTCAAGATGTTTGCGGATGACACCAAGGTCCACTGTCGTGTCCCGAGGCCCCTGACGAACTCACCTCTGCAGGCTGACCTCGACGCCTCGGCCAAGTGGTCAAAGGAGTGGCTGCTCCCCTTTAGTGCAGCAAAGTGCAAAATAATGCACATCGAAAGTGCAACTCGAGGCTGACGTACGCCTTGGACGGCGCCGAAATCGCGGTCGAGTTCACCGAGAAGGACCTCGTGATCTTCGTGGATTACCGGCTTCAGTTCCACGTGCATACGGCGGATCTCCGAGGCCGACCAGGTGCTGGCGGTCGTGAGGCGATCTTTTGCCAATATCGATGCTCGCACGTTGCCATTGCTTTTTAAGATCTTAGTACGTCCGTACTCACAGTATGGCAACGTTACCTGGGGCCCGTTCGGCAAACTGGACCAGAAACGGCTGGAACGGGTTCAGGGACGAGCTACCCGGCTTGTCTATGAAGTGAGGCGCCAGCCATACCATAAGGGGCTCAGACTCCTTCAGTTGCCCTCTCTGTACTATCGTCGTAGGGGAGACATGGTAACAGTGTACCAGCTGTTTCACGGAGGCATGTCGCTGTCGGAAGGAGGAGTTCCTGACAAGGCACAACTCGGAGGTGACGAGAGGACACCAATGGAAGCTCAGAAAACCTCGAGCTAGGACTCTCGTCCGTCGTAACTCATTCAATACGCGGGTTGTCAACGACTGGAACGCTCTTCCACGCCCGGTCGTGTCGTCGACCTCAGTTGAGCAGTTCAAGTCTAGGCTTGATAGCGCACCGGGCTGACATCATGTACGACGTCCCACACTGAATTTTCCCATAATTTGAGACTGTTTGGTTAACGGACCGGGAGCCTGACGAGACCGGGACCTACAGGCCTAGTGGCCTTTTACAATTCCTGATCACCATAAGGTAAGGTAAGGTAAGTAGATTGGAATGGCTCGGAAACCTAGCTTCAGCGTGCACGCATCTTCATCGCTTAGTTTGTTTCATTTTGTTCCCACCTGATTGATGATGAAACCAGCAGCAGGCTAAACGGGTTATTGATAAGGAGCAGCAGCGTACATCATCCTCCGATATGTGTATGTAGTGATTTGGTTCTATCCCATGCATGTAAGACGCAGAACCATAGACGTCAAGGAAAGTCGCTGAAAACCTTGTCCAAGATTCAGCAACATGCTGCAGCTTACAGATGAGCCTCGATTTATGAATATCCGCGCTATTGTTGGATATATCACGGCTTCACCCACATGCCAACATCTTGCTGCTCGAAGTACGCTAAGACACAGGGAAGGGGGGGGGGGCGGCGTAGCAGTGCAACCTCTGTCTAGATGCTGGATGGATGGAGGGGGGGGGGGGGGTTGATGTCAAAAGTTGCCCTTATTTGTGCGGCAGCTCTCGCTGCCTCCCCTCCCCCCCCCCTTATTCATGGCCCATGCTTGGGTGGTAACCAGTGATCTGAGATCATAGGTGAGTACCTGAAGCATTCATATTGTTTCTGGTGGCAAGGGAAGGGGAACAACACAGTACTTCTTAGGCGCCTTATAGGTGTAAGATAGATATCTTAACAATCATCTTGAACTAGTCATCTTAGATGCCTACACCTGAATGCATTCTTTTTATGTGCAACTTGATGACATTTACTATTTGCATCCTTGGTTGTGATTGCTTGCCCTTTTTTCTGAGGTATTTAATTTATTTAGTAATAGACCCCCCTATCCAGCCTACCCACATTTACACTCCTTGGCAACAGTACTAGTTTTAATAGCTGCTTTGATAAAGTGGCCTGTTCCTCCCCCTCTAACCCCTGGCACCCCACCTAGACCCTCATGTGCTGACTAAGTTGTGAGAAAACCGCAACTAATGGCTGCATTCATTCAGATTTGCCCTTATGTGCTGAAGCCCATTGTTCAAGTATGACTCGCATTATGGTATGAAATAGCAACATGACAAGAGAAAGGGGGAGGGCAAAGGCTACCCCCTAGATTGATGCACACCTTCACGTTGGCAAATTGCCATGCATGCAGTGGCACTTAATGCAATGAGAACATGCTAAGGCTGTGACTGTTCCCCCAATCATTAGATTGATGGTTTATTTTGCTTGGTTATAATATATATATATATATATATATATATATATATATATATATATATATATATACATGCATACATATATATTGCTTGGTTATTTTGCTTGGTTATAATATATATATATATATATATATATATATATATATATATATATGCATATTAATACATATATGCAAATCAATGCATATAATATTAATAGCCATAAAAGCTTAGCATTCTCACTGAGCTCCACCCCTCCCCCTCCCCTTACGAAGACCCGCTGTGCCCGTTTTCCATCACTTTTGCCTATTGTTCGCTGTGGGCTCCTCCAGGATGTTGTGGGTCACGGATTTCTTGCTTGAGGCTGCACTTGGGACTGGAGGATCAGGACACAGGTTTTCAGGATCAGGGTCATGTTTTCCATGATATTTATGAGTCCTTAATTTTATGCCCTATTAGTGGATTTGGAGGTACTACATTCAATAGGTGTAAGTTCCTCATCAGTGATATGATTCCTACTCCATTTTGAACTCAAGGTTTTTGCATTTTAAGATGATTGTTGAATCCTCCCCCCCACCGTTGCTGTGTGCCCTTCTGTGTTCAATTAACACCTATTTGGCATGTAAACTGAACATCAGGTAGAGTGTAATGGCCTGCAGATATTCTGACAAGTGTATACGTAACTTTGATGATTTTGTGAGTGAAATCAATGCATTCCATGATTGACGTGGTCTCTGGTTGCAGATGAATGACAGAAGACGCTGCCCAATTTCGAGATCCCGGGGTCGAACGGCCCTCATCAGGTCTACCAACTGGGGACAACAACAAGATCGTGCAATCCGCTTGAAACTTTAAATGTTGTTGGCATTGCCATGAGGAGAATGCTGTATGTTTTCTGTTGGCATGCTGGCCTTTTTTCTCAAATACAAAGCCTTGCCTCCGCCGTTTATTTGTGTTCAAATAGCTTGTGAAAGTAGAGGCAGGACACCATTTGCTGTGCAAATGCAATCATGGTAGATCTGTGGCATGCTCAGTAAAGGTTACCAGTTTGTGTGGTGACGATGTCATTATGAAGGTACGCGTTATGCATTGACAGCAGGTAGCTAGTAGTGTACCTACATGGCCATCCTAGAGTGCACTGTCCTCTCAGGCACGTGCAAAGCCCGCGTTGGCTGTCGAACGGCCCATCGCGGGCGCTAACCATAGCACGTCTTAGGTGCCCATGCGCCAAATAGTAAAACTTTTGTTTCTGTTCACCACCGCCAAGCGTCGCTGTCAATCTGTCGTCGATCCCTCCGTCACGCACCCGCCTTGAAATAGCAGCTGTCGGTGGTATCTCTGTTCTAGGGCCTTGGCAGTATCTGCTTGTGTCGGCGCGGCTGCGGCTGAGGGTATGTGGTCGGCAGCGGATAAATGCGGTTTGAAATTCGGTTGGAAAGAATGAAAGCGAACAAAAGACACAATACGGTTGTCAGGTTTGAATTGTTTTTAAAAAATCATGAATTTTAGCCACAGTAGAACCCTCAACTCCTTAGAACGTGATAATGGATGCCTAGCGTGGACACATCAGCGAGCTCGCGTTGCTCCGAGTGAAGACATGGATAACTGCGCCTGTTTGTGCACCTGGAAAAAGCCTACCTGCCAACCTGGGTCCTACTACCCACCAGACCAGTTGCCCAGATTCCACGACCCACTTCCCATTTCTCTGCCACCAAGGTAAGTTGGTCATGGGGAGGATGGGTTGTATTCCTTGGTAGATAAGTGACGTGGTGTATTCGTACCCTGGTGTATTCCTTGGTAGGTAGGTACCGTGCAGGCATGCACCTAGCAGTGGAATATTTATACGCGAGGTTGTAAGCAGTCATTACACCAGGAGATGAATCGGGCGAGGCGGGGGAGAGGGAGCAGAGGGTGCATATGCCATGGCGTTTCAGCCAATGCTAGTGGGTAGGTACCTTACCGCATGATAGGTACCTTACTGCATGGCATCGTAATTCAAACGCCATTTCTTCTCATTTTGTGCGCAATATCTTGCCAATATGATAGCAACTGGGTACATAATTCAAACTACGCATTTCCTTATTTTCATTGAATTGCTTGTGATATGCTTGTGGTTGAGTATTCACTCATAACCAACAAACTGAAGAGGTGGGGAGGGGGGCGGGGGGTGGCGGGGCGTGACCACTCCCTAGCCTCCCCTACACGGGGGCTGACCCTCTCACATGAAGTTATTTACCGTGCTCCGATTACTTTCAGGCAGCTAAGGTTCCTCAACACATGACTTCCTGCAAAGGCAGACAGAACAGCGACCATAATACTCAAGCGTCTTCTCATGCAGTACTATTTTATTCAGATCTGACATGTGCCTCAGTAATGAATTTTACCAATGTGTGACTTACCACATTTATTATTTCTGCTCGACATAGCCATGCACATTTTTGGCTTTTTACGTGACTCGGAATGCTTCATACCGTATTTAGCTAGTCGGAAAACGCGAAAGTTTCGCACGCCGAGCTATATCTTCCTGTATACCTTTGACCACTGCCTGCCGCTCGGGTAGAACATTGCTTTGATTGTACATGTTAATATGCTACTGCGATGCAAAAAAACGGAACAAACAACACGCACAACACGCACAAGACCTTGATGCACCTAGTTTGTAGCAACAAAAGCTAGATGCCGTACTCATTGAGCATAATCGACCATCGTAAAAATGAAAAGATGTTTGTTTGCGGTACGATAGCATCTGGTACTTCTGATGAGCAACAGCCAATTTTGAGTCTAAAAAAGTCGTCGCCAGTGAAATTAACGGCGGGCGCCTGGGTGCCTGAACGGTTATAAAGCCCGGCACGCAGAGGAAACTTTTTCGGTGGAGTTTTTTTGGCAAGGGGTGGCGATACTCTTTTGTAAAACTGGCCTCAGAAAATTTGATATCTTACTGAAGCATGGTTTTGTGAGATGAAATTGCCGCATAAACAGAAAATTGGGCCAAGGCTATCTAACAGATTGGGAGGATAAGATGCGACAGAATAACACCTCAATATGGTTTCGTCTGTAGCTCATTCATTTATTTAGGCCGGGTGGCTTTTGCCAACATAAGGCACTTATTGAACAAGTCAAAGCATTAGAAACGCACGAGACATGGCGCAAAGCTTGCAAGTCCGCTCATCTGAGCTGTGAAAAAACTATCAGGGCAAGTAGCTGACGCTTGCTGACGCCAGCTGACGCTGATGGCAGATACTGGAAAACCGTACAGAGGCCAAAAAATATGCATGCGCAATTTAATAAATTCGTCCTCCTAGACAAAAAAAGTTGTACAGAAGCCAGTTTTTTAATATATCACCGCTCCTTGCCAAAAAGTAACCACCAAAAAGCGTTTCCTCCGCTTACCGAGTTTTTTTAAACGGTCCTGTCACCCGACGTTAATTTCACTGGTGACGACTCTTAGGCTCAAAGGCAGCTGTTGCCTACCGGAAGTGCCAGACGCTAACGTACCTTACCTTACCTTACCTTACCTTACCTTATGGTGATCGGGAATGATAAAAGGCCACTAGGCCTGTAGGTCCCAGTCCCGGTCCCGGTCAGGCTCCTGGTCCGGTAACCAAACAGTCTCAAATTAAAGGAAGATTCAGTGTGGGACCTCATGCATGCTGTCAGCCCAGTACACATCAAGCCCAGACTTGAACTGTTCAACTGAGGTTGACGACACGACCGAGTGTGGAAGAACGTTCCAATCGTTGACAACCCGCGTACTGAATGAGTTACGGCGGATGAGAGTCCTAGTTCGATGTTTTCTGAGCTACCATTGGTGTCCTCTCGTCACCTCCGAGTTGTGCCTTGTCAGGAACTCCTCTTCCGACAGGCGACATACCTCCGTGAAACAGCTGGTACACTGTTACCATGTCTCCCTACGACGACGATAGTACAGCGAGGGCAACTGAGGAGTCTGAGCCTCTCAGGGTATGGTTGGCGCCTCACTTCATAGACAAGCCGGGTAGCTCGTCGCTGAACCCGTTCCAGCCGTTTCTGGCCCGGTTTGCCGAACGGGCCCCAGATGACGTTGACATACTCTAAGTACGGACGTACTTAAAGTACGTCAACGTCAGTTAGTCTTAAAGAGCAATGGCAGCGTGCGAGCCTCGATGTTGGCAAAAGACCGCCTCACGACCGCCAGCATCTGGTTGGCCTCGGAGATCGCTTCCGCCGTCTGCACGTAGAACTGGAGCCGGCAATCCACGAAGATCCCGAGTTCCTTCTCGGTGGACTCGACCGCGATTTCGGCGCCGTCCAAGAAGTAGGTTGCAGTTCCCGATGTGCATTATTTTGCACTTCGCTGCACTAAAGGGGAGCAGCCACTCCTTTGACCACTTGGCCAGGGCGTCGAGGTCAGCCTGCAGAGGTGTTAGTCAGGGCCTCAGGACACGACAGTAGACCTTGGCGTCATCCGCAAACATCTTGGCCACGCTTTGCATTCGTTCTGGCAGATCGTTCACGAAAATTATGAACAATGTTGGTCCAAGTACTGATCCTTGCGGGATGCCGCTGACGGCGTCGGTTCAGTCCAGTCAAAATTAGCGGAAATGACGTTTGAATTATGGTACCATGCAGTTAGGCACCTATCCACTACCGTTTACTGAGATCTCGTGGCATATGCCCCCCCCCCCCCCCCCCGCTTGCCCGATTCATCTCCTAGTTTAATGACACTGCTTACAACCCCGCGTATAAATATTCCACTGCTTGGCGCATGCCTACACGGTAACCTACCTACCAAAAAATACACCAGGGTATCTCCCCATTTTCTCCATGATCTCCCCAGGACCAACTTACCTTGGTGGCAGAGAAATCGAAAGGTCGTAGAATCTAAGCAAATAGGTTTAGTGGGATGTAGGATCCAGGCAGGCAGGTAAGCTTCTCTGCAGATGCACAACCAGTTACAGCTATGCTTGTCTACAGTTATGTTATGTTATACAGTCATGCATGTCTTCACTCGAAGCAACGCGAGCCCGTTCGTATATTGGTCTACGTAGGCATCCATTATCACATCCTAAGGAGTTCAGGGTTCTACTGTGGCCAAAATGCCCTATTTTTTACAATTCAAACCTGACAAGCGAATTATTCCTTTTGTTCGCTTTCATCCTTTCCAGTCCAAATCTCAGCCCGCATTTATCCACTGCGAATCACATGCCCCCAGCTGCAACCGCGCCGCCAAAACTGATGCTACCGACAGCTGCTATTTCAAGGACGGCGCGTGCCGAATGGGTCAACGACAGGGCTGACAGCGACGCTTGGCGGTGGTGAACAGAAACAAACGTTACAACTACAACTACTTGGCGCATGGGCACCCAAGGGGCGTCATGGCTAGCGCCGACGGCGGGCCGTTCGACAGCCAACGCGCGTTTTACAGGTGCCTGAGAGGACAATGCATCCTAGGATGGTCATGTAGGTAGACTACTAGCTACCTACTACCAATGCGTCACACCTACCTTCCTAATAACACGGTTACCACACAAACTGGTAGCATTCGCTGAACATGTCTGATATCTGCCCTGATTGCGTTACATAGCAAATGATGTCCTACCTCTACTTTCACAAACTATTTGAACACAAATTAGGATATGCATCGGAGACGAAAATGCCAACATGACAACAAAAACAAAACACTAAATTTTGCTCATGGCAATGCCAACAACATTTAAAGTTCCAAGCAGTTTGCATGATCTTGTCGTTGCCAGTTGACAGACATGATGGGGGCCGTTCGATACCGGGATCTCGAAATCGGGCAGCATCTACTGTCATTCATCTGCAACCAGAGACAGCACATTTATCATGGAACGCATTGGTTTCACTCACATAATGTATTGGCCCGGCACTGACATTAACGTCCCCCCTCTCGGCCGCCGCTCAAACACCCCCCCGCTCCCGGCCCGCCGCCAAGAGGCTC